TAACAAATGTTTATAGAAGTGAAATGATTAAGAATTCAATTCCCTACAAGATTGTTCGCATACTTTTTCACATATGATCGATGGTTTCCAAGATTGTCGATCAAACGTGGTTATAAATATTGCTCCAGCACTACCATGACCCCAGTCTGAACTTGTCATGAGGAATCAAAAATCTATACCAGAGTTTCCCAAACTTGTTTGTGTCGTAGACCCCTTGCCATGTTTTTCCGTGTTGGGTAGACCCCCTACTAACCTGATATTGATTTCCTGTAAACTTCTATCTGTAGTTAAGTTTAGTGTTAAAAACTTAAAGTAAAAACACATGTTAAGTTATACATTTATTAATTGAATTTAAATTAAAACTACTCAAAATAAATTTTTGTATCTGTTATGTAAAATATACGTAACATTAAATAAACAGGTGTATGACCAATGAGTGCCCGCATTGGGAATAAGTGCCCGCATTGAAAAAAAATAAGAGTGATAAAATAAAAAAAAGTGAAAAATAATAAAAAATAGTTTTTTACTTAAAATAGTACAATAAGCGAGTTCGTTTATTAATTATAACATAAACGTATGTTCTACAATAATTTCACTGTTAGTTTGATTAAATTCCGCTTCTTATACGTTTAAGTTATATAAAAATAGGCAAAAAATTAACGAATTTTAGTGTGTACCTACCCTTGAATTTTCAGAATAATTAAAAAAAAATATTGTCTATAAAGTGGGGTTCTTTAAAAAAATCAATGCGGGCACTTATTCCCAATGCGGGCATTTATTGGTCAGACACCAATAAACATAAAATAAACTATAAATAAAATAACATAAGCAATAAGTCAATATTTTTAGTGAGAAGGATGAATCTGATGCTTTAATAATAAGTTATCAACATTTGGCGTCAATTTTGTAAGGGTTAATCTTAAATCTCCTCGGCTAATGATGTCCAGTCTGTTTCTTTTTTTCGTTAGGAGATTGGTAACAGCGCTGAACCCCCTTTCCACTAGGTATGACGATAGAAAGGAAATTAAAAATTTCCTCGCTATATTCCATAATACGGGATAAGTAACGGGTATGTTGTTTTGCAGCCAGAATTGCTGATATCCGTTTTGAAACTGAACTTTAAGTTCTTCGTTTGTACTCAGTTCAGTCAGTTCCCCTTGTATTATGACATTCGTTTCTTCTATGTCACCATATGGATTAATTATCCACGGTGTTATTACCATAGTAAAAATATCCTCAAACCTAGATTCAAAATCTGAATAGAGGGCATTTAAATGTTGAACGTAAGTTGAAACGTCGTCTTCCTGGCAGCTTGCCTGTGACAAATTGGGGAACTGAGAAAATTCGCCCCGTCCAATATTTTGCTTCATTAGTTTAATTCTGGCAAGAAACGCTGATAAGATGGACTTTGTTTTAATCAAATTTAAACTGTCGCCTTGCAAATGCAAAATAACCATATTAAATTGTGTCTTCCTCCTTATTAAATTTTCTTTTAAAATTTAATCTTTAGTATCCAGAAATTCTAAAATAGTCTCAAAAAGTGCAAAAAATCTTGTCAAACATAAGCCTTTCGACAGCCAGCGTATTTCAGTGTGAAGGAGAAACTGATGAAAGTGTTCGCCATTTTCTTCACACAACTGCGCAAATAACCGCGTATTCAACGCGTTGCTTCGGATTCGGTTTACTGCATCAATGACTAAATGAAGTGATTCATGCAATCTAACACTCAAATTTTTAGCAACTAAATGTTGACGATGGATGACGCAATGTATTGCTAATACCCCTAACACATTTTGTTTTAAATAGCTTATAAATCCACGATAACGTCCAGGTGCTCCATCTGTAGCTACTGATATTATATTTTGATAAAGGAATTGCTTTTTCAATGAAGTAATCCCTCAAAACATGAAATATTGATTCACCTTTAGAGTCGGTTATCAAAGTTCTTGCGAAGAGCAGTTCTTCGTAGATTTCTTGATTCATAATAAAACGAACATATGCCAATAATAATGCTGCATTATCAGGTAAAGTTGACTCGTCCAGTTGTATAGAGAAATGGGTCGTTTGCAAATAATTACTTAAAAAGCTTTCAATATCAGAACTCATTTCATCAATACGTCTTTCAACAGTATTGTTGCTTAAGGGAATTCTTTGAATGATATCAGATGCAGGTTTGTGTAAAACAGTTTTTAAAACCTCTTCAACGGCTGGCAAAATTAACTTCTCTCCGATAGTATGCGGTTTTCCGGATTTTGCTGTGAGTAACGAGATATTGTATCATTTCTTTGTGACGTCGAAGCGAACATTCTATCCAGTGTAGGTCTCTTCTGAAATTTATCTTTGGGTGTTTGTCAGTATTTCAAATCTTTCTCTGTTTTATCAGGGTGGCATCTTCTCAGATGATCTTGCAGTGTAGATGGTTTCATAGCGTCATTGCCCAAAACTTTGTTGCATAAAAGGCACGATTGTTTGTCCAGCAATGAAGGCAAATTTCAAATAATCAACACTGTACTGTCTACATTTCTTTTTAGATTAGGACATGGCATCAGTCATCTGTGGGCAAAATTAAATTATTTAAATAAGACAGAAAATCCAGCAGCTGTATATAAAAAATATTTTTTGATTTTTCCGAAAACATTCCATAATTCGAACATCTTCTTGCAACAATTAGCTCGAATTACGGAGATTGCACTGTAATTATATTACCGATTGCTAAAACTTTCAAAAAGAAACTATTGAGGAGTACTCGTGTAATTTTGCATGATTGAATATTTAACTACTAATAACTAAAGTCATGATTGGCGTAATTTATCTATCTTTGCTAACTACGAGTACAAAACTAAAATTTAATAAAACATATTGTGCTTACTTTTCTCCAGCACTCTCAAACAAAATAACACTGACTCACTATAATTTGTGTGATATACTATCTGTTTATATTTTTTAAAATATTTTCTTAGCACTTTTCTTTTCAAGATTCAGGAAACGAATAAACGTATTTGTCCCACATTCGTATTTATAGAGTGACGAATTGAACAAGTCAGTGCAAGGTAGCGAAGCTCTGAGACTGCGACTCTCAGGTTTTTACAAGTTCAAAATGTATTGCGACCATAAAGCGAATACCAACATCCTACAAATTACACAATTTTATAAACATATATAATAAATGTTTTACTTCATAGGTACTTTTATAAATAATGTATATGTTTTGATATTATAAGATAGTATGATGTAAGTAAATAGGTACTATCAGTGTATGTGTTGAGATCCACTATCGTGGACCCCCATATTCATTTCATGGACCCCCAAATTTGTTTTCGCTGACGTAGACCCCTTGCAGGTTGTCATAGACCCTTAGGGGTCGATATAGATCACAATGATCTATACCGTATTCGTAGTCGATTTACGCCCCGGAACAAAAAAAATGCACCGCGTCATAAGCGTTGCAATATCTATTGGTTATTCGGCCATAAAACCAGGAACAAGTGCAGGATTCGACAGGATAGAACTCGGGCTCGGGATATCGCCGGCACGCCGACGCCGGCAGTTGCTGTTCATATTCGGTGCATACATAGTGTGTGCTTATACGTTAGCATGTCGTGTATGGATATGGCAGATGAAACTGAAAATTTGTCTCCCAATGCTTCTTTCAGCCATGCTTCCTCTTCAGTGATGTCTCCTCGCCGAAAACTGACAAGAAGGGACATTTGAATATTCATCCAAAAGAAGTTATCCTTAACGTTTATAAGAGCGAAATATGAAAGCATCCTGAAATGAAAATTCATGATATTGAAAGACGAATAGGCGAACAAAACAGGCTTATGTCCTAAGACAATTTTCTACATTGTTAAAGAATATAAAGAAAAATAAAAAATTCTCTCCATCACACAAGAGCCTGCATTACATGAAGCTGTTGGATACAGTCGATAACTTTGCTCGGAATGCCATCAGTCGCAAAGTCCATCAATTTTTTGAAAGGCAGGAACTTTCCACCATAGCCAAAATGTTACAGGAGGTTCATAGTGATGAAGACTTACTTACTTTCAACAGGACCACATTCTATAGCTTACTCAAAGAACTTTATTTTGAGTATAGAAAACGGGGCAAAGTAGTATTTTGATGGACAACCAAGAGATTATTTTATGGTGAGGAAATTATTTAAAATCAATAAAGAAATACCACGACCAGGGCAGAAAAATTTATTACTTGGATGAAACCTGGATAAATGCAGAACATACAAAAAGCATGGGCTGACTCTACAATTAAATCAGCAAGACAAGCCTTTTCAGATAGACTAACCACTGGCCTACAGAATCCGTCAGGTACGCTTATCTAACCAATTCGTCATTTGTGTTGTAGACTGAATCTATGAGCCCACGCTGAAAACTTAGCTACACTAAACTTAGCTATATCTTGTAGATTTGGAACCAACACCTGTTAGATATTCTGCTTGTATTATTAGTTTTCTTGGATTCTATATGAAACAATTATTTTCAGGATAAGGAAAACGATTTATCTGTCACATTGGCAGTGAACATTGCTTCGTGCCCACTGCCCTATGGACATTTGAGTCAAAGAAAACTACCGACTACCATAAAGAGATGCACGGGAGTTCATTTGAACGATGGCTTGAAGAAACGCTGCCAAAGCTTGATGACAATGCCGTCATTGTGCTTGATAATGCTGCACACCACACTAGAAAACTAGAAAAAATTCCCACAATATCCACAAGAAAGGCAGAAATTCAACAATATCTCGCAAACTATCAACTTTTGGACTAAGGTAGGTATGTTTAGGTCAATTCACATATTTTGGTCTGTAGTGTTTCCAGGTTCGAGATTTCCAAACCTTTCGCAAACACCCTGCATAAGCCAAATGGGTACACCTAATACAACACTTTAGTCATTTAGGAGGTTGTACAGGGTGGGCCAAAAGTTCCTGACTGATGTTAAAAATTCATAAGTTTTTCCCAGGTTAACATATTTGATTTTTTTTTTCAGATTTACAAAGTAGAGGTCTAGATATTTTAGAATGGAAGAGACTTAATCTAATCCAGAGAACCAAAGTCGTACAATTTTACTATGAACATAATCATTCGATTGTAAACACTAAGAGAGCTTATCGAAGATTTTTTAACGTGCGAACCGCCCCATCCACTGGGGCTATCCGCAGCATTATTTGGCGTTTTCAAACCCAGGGTTCTGTATCGGACCTTCTCCGAACTGTACGACCACGTTTAGCTTTCACTGGAGAAAACATAGAGAGAGTAGAGGAAAGTTTTCAAGAGGACCTCGAACCATCGACCAGAAGAAGGTCAACTCAATTAGGCCTCTCCAGGACATCCCTCAGAAGAATATTGAAACATTTGCGGATGTTTCCTTACAAAATTCAAATGGTTCATCACTTACGACCACAAGATTATGCACAACGACAAAATTATGCCATTCGTTTTCAGCAATTGGTTAGAGAGAAAGAAGATTTTTTAAATCGTCTAATAATGACTGATGAGGCGCATTTTCATCTGAATGGTTTTGTGAATACGCCAAATGCAAGAATTTGGGAAAGGCAAAATCCAAGGGCTGTACACGAGAGAGAACTACACCCCATTAAATGTACGGTTTGGTGTGGTGTTACCATTCAGGGTATTATTGGGCCTTATTTCTTTTAAAATGACGATGGAACTGCGGTGACTGTTACTGGCGAGAGGTATAGAGCTATGCTTGAAAATTTTTTGATTCCAACGCTTGAAAATAGACCTGATATGTGGTTCCAACAGGATGGAGCCACAGCTCATACAGCTGGAGCCACAATGGCATTGCTAAGAGGCTCCTTTGGAGAACGTCTGATTTCAAAAAGATCGGCAATTGAATATCCCTCACGTTCCCCTGATTTAACCGCGCCAGATTCTTATCTATGGGGATATTTGAAAGAAAGAGTTTACCGCAATAAACCTCGAACCTTAAGACAACTTATGGACAATATCAGCATGGAAATTCGAGCCATAAATCGGGAAACATTGAAGGCAGTTATGGACAATGTCTTGGGAAGGAATGTGTGTGAAAGAGAAAATGGCCGGCACTTACGCGACATTATTTTTCATACTTAATACGAAAAAAAACTCTAATAAATATATTTTATTTTTGTAAAAACTATATTAAAAAATATTAATACATAAAAAAGTTATTAAAGTTTAAAATAGGTCAGCTTCTTTTGGCCCACCCTGTAGAAGGGCTTCATGTAACAGTTATACAACAAAAGGTTAGAAACTCTTGCAGCCGCTAATGAACCCTTGCATCAGTCCAAGGTTCAGTGTTTGTGTTATGTAAACATTATGATACATGATTCTACTTTATTGCGATCAAACTATTTGTATATGGGACGTGAAGAATATTTTCAAACACATCACATCTATCTTGTTTACTGACATATCTGTTATTGTGAATTTCATACACAGGTATAATATGATAAGCTTCTAAACTGTGATTTAGGGCTACTGAATAACTTTACGCAGCAAATTTTATTGTAATTATCGTACAAAGTAGTGCCTTGTTACGGGCTACCAATTTGATTCATATTTTAATAATGATCAAAAACATATCTAGATTAATTTTTGGATGAAAATCTGAAGTTATATGAATCAAGTTTTCCACAAATGCTATATTTGGATATAATTACACTAATGTTCATCATCACTTGTAATGCCGGGCTGACACAGAATTATTTGATTTTCAGTAGAGGAATATATGTTTTACCCAATATGCCGCATGGTTATATACGTATACATATATAATCATGGCACATCTCATATTGTCTTTGGCTTGTAAGAACAGTTTATGTTATACAGCAATTCGGCAAATCTCTAAAATGAAATATATGAAGTCGAATGTAGCTTGTACCAGCTCCATACCTTTTTTTGAAAACTTAATAAAATCTTTAAAACGGTTATTTATGCGTTGCTTGTGTGTGATGTTGCCAAATCAATTCCAAACAGTATAATTTTTCAAGAAAAATCGCGCAAAACTCACACACATTCGTTTCATCGACACGATCACCACTAGCCATGTGTCAGCTGTCATATGTTTCTTGCTATCCGATAATTCCGGTGTCGTGCACCATTGTGTGCAGCATCAGGTGTTTTTCCACGATGTAAAATTGTTAGAATCTTAACATCCACCTCAAACAATTTTCAATCCGTTGTGATGTGTCCTGACATGTAGTTTTGTGTTTTCTTATATTTTTAACGAATGTACCATGGATTTAGCTTTTACCAGGCTACTAAATGTTTCCATCAACCTAACATTTAATAACATTTAGCAATAATCTCACATACTGTGTAAGTATTGTAAAACCAACTTTCTAAATGTAATTGTAGCTCTTGATGATGACTGCACAGTTCATCGAAAGCTCGAGATAATAACGTAAAAAGAGTCATCAGTGGTTTAATCTTGTCGAAGTACCCAACTAAATTGTTGTAGATTTATACCCTCTAACAGTTACCAAACGACAGTAGTATAATTGCTTCCATTGGGAGCAGTTTGTTGTGTAAAATAGTAGTTTGCACACCAAAACAACAAGGCTCGCCCACAATACAACTATTTTGACTACCGAGCTTATATGCCGCATAAAATATTTGTTGTATACGTTCATGCAACAGTTCAAAATGTATCATATAGGGTGGTGTACAAGTATGCTATAAGAATGCTTTGGAAACATCATTTTAGAGTAAATATGCTGCAGGAAGCAAATTTGTATTCCAGATATCATTAAGCCAGCATTTTGGTGTTGAGGCAACAACAAAAGAGCTTTTATGGCTTAACAGTTCCTTTAGCATTGCGCTAGATTTTCCTCACCAAAGGTATTAGTCATCTACTCTCCATCATAGATATGCATTCATACCTATATACAATATGTACATGTACAACCGAGCAGGCAGGAACCTACGTTTGATTCCTATTTTTGTCCTTCTGCACCTTGTTCAGCATCATCAGCCTCACTACCGGCTGAATACTAACTTATACCCTATTTCACGAGTATGCATCACGCTTTGACGTCTTCTGGAGTGAACAGCTGCTCAGCTGGTGACATTTTGTGTTAGTCTGCAACGTTGGCAATCATGAATTGGGTATAAATCTAGTAAAAGTTGTTTGTGGCGTTTTGTTTTTGTATGCAAATGAACGTTTACTAAATAAAAGCTATTAGCAAGTACAAAATGAATCTGTAGCGTACAAAAAACCAAAACAAAATTCGGCTCTGTCTACCTGGCGTTAATGGATCCGTCAGAATTATGTGTCCTGTGCCGATATGGGGAATTTTGAGATATTACTAGATAATCAGCTGTCATTCTACCGTGATGGATACTCGTGAAATAGGGTATATCTGCTCTCGCTTACAAGTGAAAGAAAACTATAGTGGTACAACTCACCACACACCTTGAATCAATTAACGATAAAGTTTAGTGTTTTTACCCCCAAAATGTCTACATTAACATCTCAAGTATCACCCAAAGTGGTGTCAGAGATTGTTCAGGTTAAACGATTGCAGAACTAGAGGCGGTACAGTGTCATATGGTTGGATCTTAGGTTACAAAATTATATTATCTCGAATGATACCATATTTTTAATCTGATAATACTTCACTTGCATGAGAGGTAAAGGTAACGTTAGTGGGTGCATTGTGTTCTACCAGGCACTTGAACAGCAAAATCAACGGAAAGCACGAGACTCTGCGAACGTTCCAGAAGGAGTAGCAAATTGTGGCAAGCCACACTTGCTTTGCTACCAACAAAATTCTGACATGCAAAAACAATAAATGCCGGTTAGGTCTTTGGCAAGGAAGAGCCGTCGCTGCTTCGCTTATTGTTTATGAATGGTGCCAAGTAGATTGAATCAGCACTTACCGCGTACTGATACAAAATATTTAACGTTCTAGCGACACGAACATTTTAGGCGTTAAGACGATTTTACAACCCACTCGATTCAAATGAGCAAGGCTAGACAACCTGAACGAATGCGTTAAACTATAATTTTGGTTTTGACGTTTTACCCTTCAGAACGCGTGGTCCTCATATCCAAAAGCTAGTTTCAGTCGCCGACCATTATAAATCAAAACACAATTATATATAATATACGAGTACTTGTAAGCAATTAAATATAACCTCACAACCGGACCGGACTGGTCTAGAGACATTTGCATGCATTGGCAGCTTGTAAATGACTGACTATTTCACCAGAATGCAGAATTACAAACAAACTTGCTTGAAAAATGAAACAGATTGATTTTCATGCAGAAGCCCTGCAGTTACAAGAAAATGACAGGTAAAATCAGCTGCTTTGTTAGTGCGCAGGCATCGGATTAACATTTATCTTGCTCTTGATGACCGAAGAACATGATGCTTTCGTCCGTCCGGCCAAAGATCTATCGAAACAAGACAGCGCAAAGCGCCATCTATCTCTCCAGAATCCGCTTTCCACAGTGGTTGATTATGGTGTGATAGATGGCGCTTTGCGCTGTCTTATTTCGAAAAACGAATATTAGTAAGTAAAATATAAGGTACCTTTAATTTCATAACTTTGGACTTCCTTGAAAGTCTTTTGACGAGGCTCTAAAATGACCAATTGTCTCGCCAAATCAAACCACATATACGTTTTAATTTTTCTTTATTAAACGACGTTTCCGCCGCCATATCACAAATACGTAAATAACAAGGTTTACATTTTTCAACAATGTCTTTGACTACGCCCAAAAATAATCAGAAACTGATAAGCCTCGATAAAAAGAAAATTAGGAACGATCTGAAATTTTCGTTACCTGCTCTTAGCTCTGCCGCTACTTAACTGATTTTCTAAACTTACAAAGCTGTCTCCCCTTAGCATTATTGAAAGGTCAGAGGGAAATGAGTGATATGTCTTTTCGTGATGTATAATACACGACATTGAAAAAATATCTCAAATACGAATGTTACCATAATGTAAAAAAATATTTATATTTTGTTTCCAGTTAGACAACGTTTATAGGGATACGAGTATATTTTAGTTTTATTTTTATAAATTGTTTGCAGAATCTCTGAGTAGCCGGTTGCAAATAATATTGAAAGGACTGTCGTGTTAAGCATGAAAAAATGCATCTTGCTTTATAGTGCGTATCTGACACAATTTACACAGTATCTTATTTTAACTTGTAGAGTTTGAAAACATAAACCTGCTTTTCCAAAAAATTAGCTTTGTACCCGGACAACCGTGTATTTTTATGTTTTGAAGCATCGTATTTCAAGGATATTGGAGATAAGTTGATAAAAAATGAACATGTACTTTACTAGGCAAATCGCCGAAGACCTAATTTTCTATACTTGAAATGAGGCGTTACGTTTCTTTCCATATACTTTGGGACTCATCACAAAATAAATACTTACACGTATATATTTTCATACGATACGAAATTCAGATTTTTAGATGCTTGAGTCTACGATTTATAAGTTTAAAAAACTGATCCACAAATTTTGTCGCAAATATGGATATCTAATAGCAAAGGGAGAAACACAGATGTTATGGTGCTCCTAGTAGTCTTATCATATTAGAAGAAAATACTCCTGGTTTGCAAAATAATTGTAAAGTCTGGTTTTATTGCTGCAAGTTGTTCAAGAAGGTATTTAATAGATGGACGCATGAAATG